CTGAGCAGGGGGTTGGACTCGATGACCTCCAAGGTCCCTTCCAACTTTATTATTATTATTATTATTATTATTATTATTGTTGTTGTTGTTGTTGTTGTTGTTGTTGTTGTTGTTAAATGTATTAAATAGGTGAAAATAAAATAAATATGCTAAAAGTTTTCATTGATAGTACAAAGAAGTAATCCTCCAGAAGCACCCCAACAAGTGCTTCTGCCATCAGTGATCAGCACTAATAATGTTACCTATTTGGGTAAAGAAAGAAAGCAAACAACCAAGCTCAGAGAGCGCCAAGAACTCTACAAGGAGCTATAAAGATAACATAAAAACTGAATTATATGCTCCATGGGTATGTATTCTGGATAATATTCCAGGGCAGTATTAATTACATTTCCAAATACTTTTTTTTTAACATTGGCCACACATAGTGCACATTTGTATACCAAAAAACCAGAGTCTTGCAGATCTTTCTTTCTTTCTTTCTTTCTTTCTTTCTTTCTTTCTTTCTTTCTCTTTCCTTCCTTCCTTCCTTCCTTCCTTCTTTCCTTTTCTTTCCTTTTCGAGGGACAGGGCAGCATACGAAATGATAAAAGGCATTCCTTGCATTACCTTTACCCACATCTTAGGCTAAATGAAGCAACACTAAAATACTATTGTATCTGAGCCTTCAAATAATCAGATTTAAAAAAAACTGACCTCTTTTTAATGAAAAGTGAAATTGTGTGGGAAAAGGCAGACATAACATTTCTCTTTATTATGATGGCAGGAAAACAATTTTAAAACAATACCATATTGATAAGATTCTTCCCTTGGCCAGCTATAAAACTAGAACTTCTCTCCTGATAGTATGCATAGATCCTATCCAAAACAATCTGAAGGAGCCTCCTCTAGGAAATGGTCTGTAATGAAAGACTGACATTTCCACCATAATTAGATAATAAATTTGGAACAAATGGGGCTATTAAAATGAAATCATATACTTAAAGCTTTACTACAAGATGCTGAATGCCCAGGATATTGTTTTCATTATGTCAGAAGTGCTGGCTCATTCATCATTTAAAACCCAAGTTGTTCATTACTGCCAACATGCACCTTTGGACGGCTACCAAAAAGACCGCATTCATCTGTTCAGACTTCAAGTTGAAAGAATGACTTACAGTTAAGTGGTCTGAAAGGCCAAAAATAATCCTGATATTGGTAACACATGCATTTCAAGCCCATTCTTGATGTTATATGAATATAACATTTAACCTACACATTTCTCAAATACATCAAAGTGGTAGAAACTGATATGAGTGCTGTATATTAAAAATGTGAAAAAATAGTCTTCGGGAAACAGTGCAATATTTTCAGAGGTGCCCCTCAGTTTATATACGTGGTTTCCTATGTTCAAAGTATGTTAATATTACTGCTGTTTTGGAGTATGAATTGAAAAACTTTGGCTGGCAGGTTGAATATGAAACAGAGGATTTTAAATTTAACGTGTTCAGACTGTGTCCAAGCCAAACCCCTTCCCCCTGCCTTAGTGAGGAGAAAGAAATGGGGTCACTTCCAAATATCTGAAATGTCTGTAAACTGCCTTGAGGACTGAGGCAGTAGTATATAAATTGCACATATAAATAAAATAAACAACTGATTGTCTATCAGTATTTTTTCTTTCCCAATACTGAAACTTAACAACATGGGCCAAGGTACATCCATATCCATCCCCCAGATCATAGGAAGGGATCTTGGATCTGGAAAGGGTCCTCTTCATATTTCAGAAATGAATTATGCTCTTTTCAAGGATTTTTGAATTTGAGCTCTATTTTTCTTAAAATTTTCATTAATAATTGCAGTCATTCACCTGGTTATGGTTTTCATGGCTAAATAGCTTTAATAAAGAGAAGGACGAGGGGGGACATGATAGCAGTCTTCCAGTATCTCAGGGGCTGCCACAAAGAAGAGGGAGTCAAGCTATTCTCCAAAGCGCCTGAAGGCAGGACAAGAAGCAACGGATGGAAACTGATCAAGGGGAGAAGCAACCTAGAACTAAGGAGGAACTTCCTGACAGTGAGAACAATTAACCAGTGGAACAACCTGCCTCAAGAAGCGGTGGGTGCTCCAACACTGGAAGTTTTTAAGAAGAGACTGGACAGCCATTTGTCTGAAATGGTGTAGGGTTTCCAGCCTGAGCAGGGGGTTGGACTCGATGACCTCCAAGGTCCCTTCCAACTTTATTATTATTATATACTACATATACATGAACCAAAACATCTTATCCATCCACACACTCCTACCTACTTGCATCTTGCAATCAGGGGGCCTGAAGCATGATAATATATGTTAAGTTCCTTAAGTAAATTACTATATTTTCACTGGCTGGAAGAAAGCCTTGCTTTTGTACCTATAATCTTCCTTCCCTTGCATGTTGCCTCAGACCTACAAGGCATGCAAGGCTTCCATGGCCGACAATGTACAATTTGATGTTGGGTCCCAGCTAGAGGAATGCAAAATTGAAATTATTCTTTGTTTGAATTCTAAAAGTTCCTCCTAAACGCAAATTGAAGTGACAAGGACAGATGTGGCTAAAGACATACGACAACAGGATACTGAAGATGCTACCATACTGGGTGCTACAGATAATGATTTTTTCAAAATTCTTGGTTTAATTATGGATTATAAATGCTTAACATTGAAAATGGAGAGGAAAAAATCATTATTTGAAAAAGCGAAAACAAGATTTGCTTTTGCTATTAAGAAACGTGTATTAGAGATAGATCTTTTTCAAGAATAGATACGATTTGGATCTCAAAGACTTTGACTACAAATGTTCAGAAAATGGAAATATTGTTAAAGACTATTAGACCACAAGCCAGTGACTTAAATTTTTAAAAGAAAAAATGGTTCTTTTTGGATATTCCAGAGAATTTGGAGCAGCACAACGAAAAGCAAGCTGTATTGATCTTCTTACATGCAGACAATTTGAACTGGATTTTCTTGTTTAGAATTCTGGAAGATATGAACTCTGGAGATAATTTTATTGAACGGTCAAAATTGATTTATACTTCAGAGCACCACAATAATTTTTAATGGAGAATTACCAAAACCTTGTAAGATTGAAAAGGGGACAAGACAAGATTACTGCTGTTTCCACTCTTGTTCACATGCTGAACAAGACAAGATGAGAAAATCGTGGGAGTAAAGATTAACAAAGAAACTTGTAAATTAAAGGCATTTGCTGATGACCTAGTAGAGGGAGTAAAAACATCAATGGAAAAATTAAAGGACTTTGGTATGCTAGCAAATTTTAAGATTAATAATGAGATATGTAGTGATAGTAATTTTACTAGTAGATATATTAATGTAATAAATATAAATTGTATGATGTTTATTAAATTTAGGAACCACCCAGTTCCCTTACAGAATGCTTCTGGGCGGTATACAAGTAAAATATTAATACAGAAGCGAAGATAGTTAAAATACAACATTAAAATTTAATGAAAAGGTGGGTGGGCCTTCAGAGTACTAAACAGCCCCATGGCCCCTGTGAGCGCCAAGCCAGAAGGCAGAGCCAGGTCTTCAGCCATTTCTGGGGGCCCATCTCACATCTTGGAAGAGAATATTTCAAAAGGCAAGGGCCACAGCACAGAAAGCAAGGGCATAATTATGTTAAGACTTGAAATGAAATGAAGAAGGACTTGTTAAGATGGGAGACATTAAAATGGACACTATTGAAGAGAATTTCTGTGATTAAAAATGAATGTTTTACCTAGAATGATGTTTTTGTTTCAGACAGCATCTCTTTTGACAATTGATGTATTTTCAAGCAACGGCAAAAAGATATATCTAAATTTATATGGCAAGGGGAAAAAAACAAGTTAAATATGAAGTATTATAAGAGCCAGTTTGGTCTAGTGCAAGGATCCCCAAACTTGGTGACTTTAAGACTCGTGGACTTCAACTCTCGGAATTCCTCAGCCAGCTTTGCTGGCTGAGGAATTCTGGGAGTTGAAGTCCACGAGTCTTAAAATCGCCAAGGTTGGGGACCCCTGGTCTAGTGGTTAAGGCACCAGGCTAAAAAGCATAAGCACTTTCTGTCCAACCCAAGGGGAAAGTAGGAGGAGGAAAGTATGTTGAGTATGTTTGCCACTCTGAATTATTTGTAAAAATAATAAAAGCAGGATACAAATAAATAAGTAAAATAAAAGAAAGAGAATTGGTCTACCGAATTTGAAATCTTATATTGCCGCCTGTTGTTTGGTTTGGATGAAAAAATGAGTGTTGCTGAGAAACAAAAGACTTTTAGAATGAGAAGATTAAGAACTGAGCTTTTAATGGCATGGAGGTTTATGGCACAATAAAGTTAAATGTAGATTTTAAAAACCACTTTTTTAGATATGCCATACTGAGAATATGGAATAAATGTTAAGATTCAAATGAAGCCAGAACATTTCCTTTCAGGACTGATGGATACACAGTTAAAAAAAAATCATGGAAAAGTATTTCAATACAGGATTACCACAGCGAGATTATTTTATGCACAAAGATGGAAAGATCTAGGACTACTCATCATGGAGGAAATGGGTTGGTGAAACTGACAGAATTTGATGACAAAATTGACAAAACTTGACTGGAGAAAGGTCATTATTGATATTCATCAATGATTAGAAACCCCTTATGGACTTTTTGTGTAAAAAAAAAGGAAAATGATTTTATGACTTATTAGAAAGATTATAGAAAAGGGGAATAATGGTATAATCTTAGAGATGATATATGTGAGAGGAAGATCAGATGCCACTTTTTTGTATTTCTTTCTATGTTTTCTGTTCTCTTATTTTCTTTTATCTATCTTTTTCTCTTTAACGTTTATCTTTTTCTTTGTGTGTACTTGTGCAACACGTAAAATATTTTAATAAAAACCACAGTATTTAAAAACTTCTAGTTTTTTAAAATTAATATATTCCAAACAGTTCTTTGTGAGTATTATATAATCGCACAGAAATGGAATTAAACATTCTTACTTGCTTCTTGATGACTGTATGGCCATCCAGGGGCAGTTAGAAAGGGAGGCACTGGTGAAGTTGTCCTGCTGTCACTTCCAAATTGTTGTGTAATGTGGCGCACAGTATCCTTGTTTTTTCTATTCTTCCTACGCCCTGTAGGCTGCCACCCATCTGTAGTTCCTTGTTCTGAGAAAGCATTTTGCATTGCACTATCTTTGGCCGACTGCAATTCATTTCCCCCATAATGAGGTGGAGAGATCTGTTCTTCTTTGACACGCAAAGTCCCATAGCCCAAGTCAGTAGACCAAAGTGACTGGGATGAAATGTCATCGTGACTATCTGATTTTGGCTCTTGATCTTCTTTTCCACAGGTACTTCCTCCTTCGTGACAGCTAGCAATAGCCGAATCTCCAGAAGAGTTTGCCGGACTTGTCCGTCGAGCCAGCCAGGGAGATATGCTCCTACCAGCTACAACAGCAGAAATCAGAGCATCCGTACTACTGCTAGAGGAAGCCCCAAATTCATAATCAATAAGGTCGTCGGATGCATCAGACTTTATGCTTATGTCAAGAGCAGCCTTGATGAAATTGTGACAAGCTTGCACAATGTCGGTCATTTGAAGATAGCTGGCCGCTGACATCACCTCAATAACATTCCTGCTGGTCAATGCAAGGTGTGCTGAGTACATGAAGTCAATGATGGCTTTAAAGCCCTGTGCCGTTACAATATCCAAATGAGTGACTGTGGCTTGGTCGGAGGTCTTCTGCACCTGACAATACAGTGTCTTGAAGTAACGGCTACTCCCAAGTAAAATATTTTTGTGAGCCTTGAAAATCTTTCCCTCCACTATAATGCAAACATCGCAGAGGATGCCATGCTGCCTTTGTTCATTGAGTTCCTGAAGCAGATGATGATAATGGGAGGCAATCTCCATGTCTTCTTTCTGATTATTCATTTAGAAGTATTTGCACTCCCACGTCTGCACGCTCTGCGGGGAAGAAAGAGAGACATTGACACTGTTGACACCAATGGACATTTTTCTCTCAATGCAGACAGGAGCATCAATCCCAAACATCACAGGGGGTCATTGGTGGGAGGAAAAGGCTAAAACTAGCATATCTGCTAAAATTCCTGTAATGATCAGCATTCTACATTAGCAAAATCATTTCAAAGGAGCATCTACCCCTGGGTTCGATTCAACTCTGAGAGGTAATTCATCAACTTCTTGTTGTTTAAAAGCTGAGTTATAAGGTATTCAAATAATTACTCAAGCATTCCATACCTATGGATCTTTCAGATATAATTAAGAGTGATTAGCTTTAAATTCTAAAAAGAAGAACTTAAATTTATAGTGTGCAAAGATCACAATCAGGCTATGGCTGAAATTGTGTACAAATACCGATTCTGTTTTTCCAGAGAGATAGCAGTAATTCTCAAGGAAGCAGTTGTCCTTAAGACTACATCAGCAAACTCTGTACTGAGAGAGCTATACAAAAATTCACTTCGACCTCAGTTTACTTACATCTTCAAGATGAGAATCACAGGTGAACAATCCTTGATGATAACCAGCAATTTTAAAGTAAGCCTTATCCTGTGTCTTCTTCCCTTTTATTGTTACAAATCTTAATACCTTTATTGCCTCAATATAGTATTTGTGCAATATTGATTAGATAAAGTTAATATAATACACAATACAAAGTTAGCATTCTAATGTTTAGTTGACTTGGAATATGGGAAATAAAAAGGTCCCTCTGTTGGTGATGTTCAAGCAACGAACATGTGTGCTATTGCTTATGCTACTCAAACATGCAGTCTAACATGCACAAAAATATTAAAAAGGGGAGAGAAAAATCTAAGAAAGATAGAAAGGCAAAGCCATGGGAGAAGAAAGTCTCTGAGAGGCTTACAGTGCTTGCAGTTATACATTAAAACAACACATATAAAGGTAGTCCTCGACTTACGACCACAATTGAGCCCCAAATTTCTGTTATTCAGACATTTGTTAAGTGAGTTTTGCCCCATTCTACAATCTTTCTTGCCACGGTTGTTAAGTGAATCACTGCAGGTTAAGTTAGTAACACGATTGTTAAGGGAATCTGGCATCTCCATTGACTATGCCAGTGGTGGCGAACCTATGGCACGGGTGCCAGAGGCAGCACTCAGAGCCCTCTCTGTGGGCACGCGTGCCTTCACCCCAGTCCTAGGCCTTCAGCTGGATTTTATAAAACCTTTTTGCTTTAGGCCTCTGCCGCCATGTGCAAAAAAAAAAAAGGTTCAATCAGTCAATTTCAACTTCTCGCGGGGAAAAAAAATCTTGCAAAGTTGGAATTGATTGAACTTTTTAGTCCCACCCAGTCTGCCGTTACCACCGCAGCCACGCCCACCCAATGGGCCACGCCCACCCGGCACTCGACGATGCATAAGTGGGTTTTGGGTTGTAGTTTGACTTAGAGACTTTCAGTCTCTAAAAGGTTCGCCATCACTGGACTATGCTTATCAGAAGGTCCCAAAAGGTGATCACATGATCCCCAGGACACTGCAACCATCATAAATATGAGTCAGTTGCCAAACATCTGAATTTTGATCATGTAGCCATGGGGATGTTACAAGAGTCCTAAGTGTGAAAAACAATCATAAGTCACTTTTTCAATGTTGTGATTCCGTGCCAGCCTGTGATCAGTTGTAACTTTGAACAGTCACTAAACAAACTGTTATAAGTCGAAGACTACCTGTAACAAGAAGCAAGGATCAGGAAACATTTAAGATACTCTGTTCCAACAAAAAAGAAAAGGCATAGAGTATTTTAGTCATGTGCCAAATGACCTCCAGAAAAGCCAGATCTTCAAGGGTCGTCAAAAGCTTAAAAGGGGTGGGAAAAATCTCTAGTTCCAATGGAAAGGTTTTCCAAAGTAATAAGAAAGCCTAGGTCAGGGCCTTGAAGTGGGCTTTATCTCAGCAAAGGGTCTCTTAACATTCTTTCTTTCCCTGGTCTTGCCAAATGCTGTAGACAGATTCCACTCACAAAAGGCTGTCTCAGAGATACCAAGCCCCCCTAGGCCATATATGGCTTTAAGGCCATAACCAACATCTTCAACTGCATGTGAAAGTTAAGCAGCAATCAATGCAGGGTCTCCAGAAGAGTTATTGGATAAACCTTAGTGTGTCCATATCTAACTAGGCTGACCCATGCTGAGCCAGCTGTACAGATAATCCTCAACTTATAACAGTTCATTAAGTGACCGTTCAAAATTACAACGGCATTGCAAAGTGTCTTATGACCGTTTTTCACACTTACGACCATTGCCGCATCCTTGTAGTCACTTGATCAAAATTTAGATGGTTGGCAACTGACTCACCTGACAGTTGCAATTTCCTGGATCATGTGATCAGCTTTTGTGACCTTCTGACAAGCAAAGACAATGGGGAAGCCAGATTCACTTAACAACCGTGTTACTAACTTAACAACTGCAGTGATTCACTTAACCACTGTGGCAAGAAAAGTCGTAAAATGGGGTAATACTCACTTAAAAAATGTTTCACTTAGCAACAGAAATTTTGGGCTCACTTTAAGTAAGTCGGCAACTACTAGTAGTTTCTGAATGGTCTTTTTAAAAGGCAGCCTCACATACAGCAGGATACAATAATCCAAATACTTTGGAGAAGAAAAGGGTAGCTATGCAGGAATCCTGGACAGAAAAGCACATAGTATTACTGCTAATTTCAAATTTAGGTCAAATATACAAGAATAACCAGGGTAGTTTCCACTAGCTAAACACAATAAAGTGTTAATTACGGTAACTAATCCAGCAAACCTAATCTCTTCAAACTCTGAGGTTCCATTGGCCTGGCTTTTTCCATTCTGACTTGTACATCAAGATACTCATCTTGACATAGTAATATGGTCTTCAAGTCAACACTGACAGTCAAACAGAACAGAGATGGAAAAGTGACAGGTTGCTTTGAGTAACCCTTTGGGAATAGACCATTGGGTTGCATCTGCAGCCTTGACCAGTGCCATTTGTGATGGGCTGGAGATCTCAACCTGAGAACTTTCAAGTGTTGAAACAATATCTGTAACAGACTGACTTAGAACTTTAAACTCATCCCTTCTTATGACTACCCAGATAACCTGATCCTTTTACCTATATTGGAAATGCTTTGGGCCAGTTTTTTTTTAAATCTAAGACTGTATGACTTTGAACTTTTGTGTGAAAGCTAAGGGAAGACACAAACTCAGGTTTAAAAGTTCTTGCTTTTTGGAATTCTATGAAATGCAAGTCTGGTTAGCGTTCAGAATCATCTCACACATTTCTATTAGAGCAAACATGCAGTGGTTTTGGTATACAAGAGACCGCTTTGACAACATATATGCAGATCTCTCAGGAAGGCATAATAAGTAAAACTAGAGAGATTCTGGTTGATATGACTTGCCTTTGCTTAAATATTTTGTACATGTTCATACAAAGAGAACCATGAATGCATCTCCTCCACAAATCAAGATTAATATAATAATCCTGATGACTACTTCGCTACTCTTAATTTTGTGATAGCTTCCTTTTACACATATGGTTCAATTTAGATGAACATTATTTTGTTAATGTAGTATTAAAGGCAACTGTGCTGGATCAGACTAAAAAGCTGCCTAATGTAGCATCCTGTGCCTATAGTTCCTGTGGGAATACATACTGTAAACAGGCCATGAAAGCAACAGTGTTTCTCTGTTATTGTTCCCCAATGACTGGCAGGCAGAGGCAGGCTACCTCAGATCTGAAAGAAGCATACAAGCATCATTAATTGTATTATCCTCCATTAATTTGTTTAATCCCTTTTTAAAGCTGTCCAGCTTGGTAGCCATTGCTACATCTCAGGGAAAGGAATTCCATATGCTGACTGTATGCTGTGCAAAGGATGTTCTTTTGTCTATCTTGAATCTTCTTTCATTCAATTTTTCCACATGAGTGAAGATTTACCATCAGATCTTGTTTATCCTTCCGAAAGTGGTTGGGTCCAAGCCTGTCTTTCTTGCATTTAATATATTCATCTTGTCTGAAAGTATCTGTCACATTTTCTTCATCTGGGTCAGAATTTTGGGACTAGATAAACACATATACATATAAACCTGTCAGCTATTTCCATTTGGAATAGGGAAAATTATACAAAGCAGAGACAAGTGGTAAGAAATATGCCAAAGAAATTAAAGACATGAGATGGTTTTTAACATAATTTTAAAAAGAAACGGCAAAAAATCAATATTTCATTTTAATTGTATTTTAAACTTAGTATTTTGTACTGTTTGTCTGTTTTTTAACTTGCTGTAAGCCGCCCTGAGTCCGCCAGGAGAAGGGCGGGGTATAAATTTAATAAAACCTAAACCTAAAACCTAAAACCTAAAAGGAAATAAAGATAATAGGGTACATTTATACTGCTATCTTTCCCAATTCCTCTCCATACCTTTTTACATTTGTAAATTATTCTTCTTTCCACTATATCTATATATCATTTCATAGCCTGGCCTGGAGAAAAGGCAAGGTTAAACTCTAGTAATAAATGAAAATTTCACTATCAGTAAGTTAATGAAAACTTAATGGGAGTAGAATATGCAGTGCAGTACTGTATTCCAATCCAAATTGAGAGTTATGCTTTGGTTCTGGCATGGGCATCTTGTGCCAGGAAAAGATATATCCTCTTTAAAGAGCAGTCAAAGGAATTGAAAAAAAGAGAGGAGATGCATATACCAGATCCAAAGACGGTCAGGCTCATATAGTACGATTGTGTATTGCCAAAGCTATCAGTAAGGAGATTTGACAAGATTAGTAGAGGACTGAATTTAGTATGTTATAGAAAGATCACCCAATACTCGTCTTATAAGGCAGCCCAAATATATTACTCTTCAAAAACATGCTACTTAACAGGGATCACATGTTGCTACTGAAAATTCAAACATAATTTGATGTCTTTTGATCTGAAGATTAGCTATGT